CTCGGATGCATTTACTCACGTCCCATACCTTATTCTTGGTATTGCAATACCCCTTTCACAAGTCATCAGTGCAGCCCCCACAGTGTCCTGGGCACTTCAGACATAGGAAAGTGCTCCTTGCACCAGAGAGGTTAAAATCTAAATCAGGCAGCGTAGGAAGAGAAATACTGATGTAAAACTAAATACACCTCTACCCCAATATAACGCGACCCGATAGAACACGAATTCGGATATAACGCGGTAAAGCAGTGCTCCGGTGGATCAAAGCAAGTTCAATATAACGCGGTTTCACCTGTAACATGGTAAGATTTTTTGGCTCCCGAGGACAGCATTATATCGGGGTAGAGGTGTACCACCAATTAAACCTTTTGGCAACCCCAAGCACTGGTAAACAAACCCTAGATTGACATGGCTCTGACTGTGTAGGTCAGGGGTTCTCAAATTGGGGGTTGCAAAGGTATTATATGGGGGTCGCAAGTACATGCATAAAACAGAGCAACTGCTATAAAATATGTAATTTAATCTAGTGTTTTAGAAAATTACACACACACTATATTGTGAGGGAAAGGTATTTACTTCAAAAAGTATTGTAAACTTATAAAGCAGTAATTGTTGTTCCTAAACAAAATATATGTTTGTAGTATCACCACTTTAAGGAAATTGGCCTCTTGGGATTGTGGTATTGTGCACTCAGGTTTGTTGTCTTGAGACTAAAAGGGTGTGACTGAGTCAGCATTAGAGGGCTTGATTGTTCAACAGCTGAAGAGCTGCACTAAACTACAGACCAATCAGAACACTATCAGCAAAAAAAAAATAACTTTTAATATAACAGTCAGACACCCAGGCAGGGTGGTGCTGGAGGAATGTGTGCTTGCAGGGGTTATAGCCACCTCAAAATTTGTCTTAGCCCCCTGTAAACCCCCTCCTAGTGCAAAGGTCAAATAAGGTCAGAAGTAACGGGGGAAGGGATAGCTCAGTGGTTTGAGCATTGGCCTGCTAAACCCAGGGTTGTGAGTTCAATCCTTGAGGGGGCCATTTAGGGAACTGGGGTAAAAATCTGTCTGGGGATTGGCCCTGCTTTGAGCAGGGGGTTGGACTAGATGACCTCGTGGGGTCCGTTCCAACCCTGGTATTCTATGAAGGAATGGCATTGCCACCTGCAATTCTGCGCTGCTGCTGGTGGCGGTGCTGCCTCCAGAGCTGGGCGTCTGGCCAGCAGCTACCACTCTCTGGCTGCCCAGCTTTGAAGGCAGCGCTGCTGCCAGCAGCAGCACAGAAGTAAGGGTGTCAATGGAGAGCTAAGTCTACTTTGAAAAGTGATATTGACAACATTTCTTTGCGCCCCTCCCCCAGTATTAAACAGTAACTGTTAAAAAAAAATTTTCCTGCTTATAACTAATTTGAAAGTGGTGAGAAGGTAAATTCATTTTAAAAAATAGGGCTATACATTTAGGATTTAAATAGTGTTAAATATAAAAAATGTGCTTTTAATTTATTGGGGGGGGGTCTCATTCAGAGGCTTGCTGTGTGAAAGGGGTCGCCAGTACAAAACGTTTGAGAACGCCTGGTGTAGGTGCTCTAAAAACATAGCAGGTTTGCCAGTACAGTAGGCAAACAGTAGTTCTGACAGCAGATGGAGGGTGTAAAATGACTTCCCTGTCCCCTTTGCAGTTGAACCCTGGGAGTTGGCTTAATTTTTCTATGGATCCTTGCTGCTCATCCTTCACCTGCTCTGCTCCTGTGAAACCCTAGCAGGCGTGTTTTTTCCAGCCCTTTCCCATTGATAGACCTGTTCCAGGCGCAGTGTGTGACAGTGTGCCAGCTCTTGTTCTAGTGGGAAGTCAGAAATGGTTCCTCAGGAATACATTGTAGTTAGGGATTCCCACATTTACCTGTCTGAAACAGTGGATAATGTGCCTAGTTTGTATTTATGAATCCCTCGCTCTTTAGTGTGCAAGCAGCAGTCAGTCAGTTGTAGACGAAGGTGGGAAACCCTCTCAGCAAGTCACTTGGCCTATTGTGCCGTGCTCTAAGATGCGGAGTGCCTTTCTGAGCCCACAAGCCATCAACTTGGTCCCTGAAGCATGAACTTTGAGTCTTTTCTCCTTGGGTTTTTACACCAGGAATTTGTTGTTTGATTCTGCCAATCCTGTGGCAGTGACTTCCATGGAGTGACTGTACACGCTGCATGAAGTGGCATGGCATTCCTGTCTCTGTTCTGAACTTGCATGTCAGTACCTTGTTCTCCGTTCATGGAACTGATTATAATTATAAGACCAGTGAGAATGAAGCAGTCCCCTTCAAGCTCTTCCTTCTTGTCTTAAAAAATCCTAGTTTTTGTGATATGACGCCTAGTTTTTTAAGTTGGTGAACAAGGCTGTTCTGTGCATGAACCCGCGTATTTAATTGGTGCAAAGGCTTTTCCGTCTCTCGGCCTGAGTTGTACTGGACAAAGGAATAGAAGCCACCACAAAAATACAGCTGATGTCTGACCTTACCCTCTCCTATTTTACCTTGCAAGCAGGTAAAACCCCAGCTGAGTTGTGCTGAAGGGAATGGTACGTTAATGTACCTGGAGTAAAGCTTTAGGAAAGGAAAATCCCTTAACTCCCCCGCCCTCTCCCCCCAAATGCTTCCATGTGTTGCTGCTTCTTGTGGAAGACCCTACCCGAAAGAACAGAATTGCTCCCAAAAGGCCTGTTGATGGCTGCATGGCTCATGATGGCAGCGAGTGCAGCCTATGTATAGTCCTTCCTGGGGGTGCTAAACTGAGGGAGTACATGAGAGGTATATTTTTAAATAGTGAGTACATCCATTCCCTCTCCCCCACACATTCCAAATGCTGTAACATACCAGATAAGCAAGTTATTCTAACCACTACAGCAACAGCATTCAGGAAGTCCTTACCCGGGGATCCAAAATGAATTCCTCACCAGTGATCACTGATTAATGGGAGCCCTATCTGACGCAGGGGGGCCAGTGGACCCAGCAAATCAGTTAGTGTGCCTGTGCTCAGCATGTGGATCTGTGCGCTTCAGTCAGCAAGTTGTAGCGTGCTAGGTACTGGAGATTCACCGTCATCTCCATGCCAGGGGACAGGAGTCAGTGATCACTGGCACACTCTGGGAGGGAAGGTCTCCCTTTTCCCTGACCCCAGTCAGCCTCATCAGAGGTGTCCTGGGTATCCCATTTTGGCCTTTCTTGGCAGGACCTCTGTTTTTGGTCTGCACCTCTTCCTAGAAGGTTCTGCTAACGTGATTTGGTTTAAGGAGTCCTTCCTTCCTGCCAGACCTGCATGGTCTCTAAACATCCGGAAGAGTGAGGATCCTACTCACAAAGGGCCCTGTCCACAGTGAGCATCAAAATGTCTCTTGTTTTCTCCCCCCACTTTGTCCAAGCTCCCAGGGGATTCCCCTCTCCTTCCAAAATGTTGCTTTTCTTGTATATTGAAAAACAGACAGACAGCAGCCTCCTACCTGCCCCTCCCCCAATCAGCCCTACAAGAACAAAGCAATGTGTTCAAATTTAAATAAAAATATTCATCAAGGAAAACAGATTTTTGTGCCATGCTCCTAGACTGTAGGTTATAAAACAGCATGGGAAGGAGTCCTTGTGAAAATGAATGGACACCTATTTAATGGCTGGTTCCAGTGTTGCATAGACTTCTCCTGATGATGCAATGAAACGGTGCATGTTACTGCAGAACTGCATCCCACCTCTCTGTGCTCTCTCCCCTTCCATTCCTGTAATACGGTCCAGGCGCTTCTTTGAGCGACTCCGCAGACTGTACGGGTGGGGTGGGAAAGAGAGCTATTGATAAAGCGGCTGCTGTCCCGTGACATCTGCACCAGAGAACGGGTTCATTGCCCGAGTGTCATTTTTTCCCCTTTCTTGACAGTTTTGCTAGTGCATTAATAGCCACCTTGATGCATGTGCCTCTTCTGTCCCTGATAAACGACATCCTTCCAGGGGATGCAGTAGGGAATGAGAGGCAGAGAAACTCATTTAGAATCCGCTTGCGTGCTTCACACTCGCCACTGCTAATTGCCTCCTTACAGACAGCTCACTATATACTTTCAGCATTCGAGCTACAGAACTCATCTACCCAGGAGGGAAATGTCAGATTTCAGGCCCGAGGTGCTTTGAATAATAATACAGCGGCAATCTGCACTTACTGTCCAGCTATGACATCAGCAGGAGGAACCTCAGCTCTGGAGCCAAGCAGACCGGGTTTGGGGTAGTGAAGATGTCAGTTCAATAATGCACTAGCTGGCCCTGCTGTCTGTTGTAGAGATACCTGTCTGCATTGCCCCTGAGAACTACGGCTCTTGCTTTTCTGTGAATGCTGGCAGAGCTGCAAACAGGTGCCGGCTGTCCTACAAGCCAGTAGAGTCCCAGTTTTCCCTCAGATTATTTTTCCTTAAATAAAATCTCCTCAGTAAATAAGTGTTGCTTTGGCTTGTTCAATGGCTGTTCTCATGGTACTTGCAGTATTTCTCTGGATGGTCTGGTGCCTGGATTGCCCGAGTGCGGCATAGCCCGACTCTAACTTCGGAAATCACTTGCTGCAGAGTGATTTTTGGGCACCCCTCTGAGCTGGCCTGAAGCTGCAGCATGGGTGGCGTACCATCAGCAGTGACAGGTAACCTAGCTGGTGACTAGAGGCTGCTAGCAGACTGCAGTATAGTACGCTGCTGAACACCGCAGTCCAGCCAGACCTTGCCAGCTGTTTTAAAAGGAATTGTGAGCAGCCAGTGAAATAGTCTAGAGCTAGTCAACTCACCTGACTGAAATACAAGTTTGTATTTGAGAAGGAAAAGTTACATAAAAAATGGAACCGTTTTGTGCTCTCGCACTTAACACAGCAAGAGGCTTAGTAACTCTAACAACCCTAGAGACTAACAAATTTATTAGAGGAACCCGGGAGCAGTATAGTAACACCCATTGTTTCATGTTCTCTGTGTATATATCTTCCTACTGTATTTTCCACTGCATGCATCCGAAGAAGTGGGCTGTAGTCCACGAAAGCTTACGCTTTAATAAATTTGTTAGTCTCTAAGGTGCCACAAGTACTCCTGTTCTTTTTGCGTATACAGACTAACACGGCTGCTACTCTGAAATCTAACAACCCTGATGACCACATGGAAATAATTGAGACCCATGTAATGGGCCGCACACAGCAACCATTGCCATGAGGGATTGTGACTTCTCAGCAGGGGCGGGGCGGGCAAAAGTCACATTTGCAACCCAGTGTTCTGTAAAATGATACACAAATGATGGCTGTTCAGTATGTCTTATTCAATTTGCTTGAAACGTTCAGCAGTACTTTGAGATCGTTAGTATTATGGCAGTGCCTGGAGGCCTTCCGTCAGCGTCAGTCCTGCAACCTGACCTGAACCTGATGGGACCCGACTACAAGTGTCAGGTCGGGGTCAGATGGGAAAACCTCCGGACCCTCTCTGTTGGGTTGGGTCAGATCTCCTCCTATTGCCCAGGGGGTAAGCGTGGCAGCAGTTGTGTGCCCTGTCTCTGCCGAACGCCATCACCCCACTGCTGTGCATGTTGCGGAGTGAGTGTGCCGAGAGTTGCAGTGGCTTTCACTGCACAGAGAGGGCTGTTGGATGGCAGGAGCAGGGCATCCAACCTGCCGCCATGCCAACCACGGTGGCTGCTGCGGGATGTCCCAGTACTTCAGGAATGGCATGTGCCCACCCCCAGGGTTGTGACCTCGCACACAGCATGCATGCAGTGCGTGACATGTTCTTCAAAGTGGTGTCTCCGCTCGATGTTACCTCACACGCATAGCGTGTATGACGTTGCACCCGCAGGTACGGAGCAACGTGCTCTTCAAAATGGCCCCCCTGTTAATATCGTGCAAAACCACATCCAGCTTTGGCTCCGTACCAGACAGAGACAAGCCACCCAAAACAGGACTGTCCGGTTAAAAAACGGACGCATGGCCTGTGTAGTGCCAACCTCATGGTGGCAATAATCCAGGTTCGGGCGGAAGGGTCGGGTTTGAAAATGACTCAGTCCTCTCGGGCTCAAGCTGGGCCTAAAAATTAGGCCCAAGAACACCTCTACAGAGCCCATTATGCTAGCGGCTGTATAAATACATACAGAGAACTGGTCCCTCCCCAAGAGCTCACAATCTGAAGCAGCGAAGGCAGGGGAAGTGGCTACGGCATACAAGCACAATGGTCAGGGTGATGGAACCAACTGCAACAAGCACCCATGTCTCTTATTGGCATTTCTTATTACTGTTACGTAAAGTCTAGATTTTAGGCTTCTTTGGGTCAGCGCAGAGGGCTGGAGATGGGGAAGTGGAGGAGTTGGTTGAAGTAAGAAGGGTAGTGGGTAATGAGAGGAGTCTGAAGAGGGAGGTAAGGAGGTTGAGAAGCCCACTAGGCACAGGGGAGAGTTGAGGTGGACAGCGGTGGGGGAAGGGGTAGGATGAAAACAGCGGTGATACTACAGCAATGAGACGGCAGAGCCCAGGTGCCACAGTCGAGTGAGCATCAGACTGTGAAGGCTCGTCCTGGCTGCAATTACTCTCCTTGTGGAGGAGGAAGGATGCTTCCAGTGGGTTCTTCTGGGTCTCTTGTAGGGGCACAAGGGGACTGGAAGGCCCTGATTTTTACCCTCTATATTCTGTGCCATAGTTGGTATTTGCTGCATTTGGGAAGGAGGTCTGCAGACCTACATAGCCTATAACTCCTCCTGTAGGTTCCTTCTAATTGTGACTTCTGGTCCCCATGGAGAAGCAGGCTTAGGGCCTCCCCTTCTCCAGATGAGCCCTTCTGGTCTGGAGGTGGGATGTGACAGAAGGAGGGCTGGGAATTGCCTGCTGTCGCTAGCTAGTACCGACTGCTTTGGAGAGGAAGGACCCAGGGGCCTGCCTTCACCTTGACGGCTCCTTTCTCCAGGTCTTCATCTATGTTTGGTCTCTTGAGATTGTAAGCTGCTTGGGACAGGCAGCGCCCAGCACAGTGGAGCTCCAGCCCAAGCCGTTTAGCGCTCCTGCGACACAAGTAAAGATTTAAGTCACTGTGGTCGATCTCAAGCCTAGCAAAATCTCTAATTTGTTCAGTCCTGTTTGATAGAACCCTGTGCGTGCGATATTTGAACTTTAAAATCTGCTCTTGGTTACCACATTCATTAATTGTTGGGTAAATGTGAGATGACAATACCTTCTACACTGGGTAATATCCTAGTGGAATTTCCCAAATGTAATTTGATTCTGATATGGCCCAGCTGTATTAAATCCCCTTCCCTTGCCAACTGGGAGGAGATTTGACTTTACTGGATTGTTTTATTTGTACAACCTTCAGTCTAAGTCCCAGGTTCCACATCGTCCAACCCTGCGCTCTCCCCATGCTGTTGATAGTGAGGTAGAAATAGTAAACATGGGTAGTTTATAAAAACATGCTACACTTAGGGCTGTGGACATAAGAGAGTGGAAATATTTTGTTTCCATCCTGGTGCATCTTCGCAGACATGTAAAAGCAGCAAAGAGTCCTGTGGCACCTTATAGACTAACAGACGTATAGGAGCATGAGCTTTCGTGGGTGACTATCCACTTCGGATGCAGACATGGAGTGTCACTGTTCTTTCCTATCCACGGCTTGTTCCTCCTTTAAGCCCTATGTATCATGTCCTGCCATCTAGTCAGTGGTCAGCCTCTAAGTTGAACTGTCCCTTGGCTGGAAATGTCTGGTTTAGGTAGAAATATGGAGAGAAGTAAGGGGGAATGTTGGCACTGATATATGTAAATATACTTGAATTGTCCCTCTGGATACATCTGGAAATTCCTAGGGAGCGTTGGAAAATGTTAATTAGAAACAAGCTGGGTCATGTTTAATTAGGGATTTAGTTCAGAATGGGCTGCCTAAGTCTTTGAACAACGTAAACAAGAATCTGGGATTTCAATACATGCAAGTAAGATGCTTTTATAAAAGAAATTTGATGTGATAAAAACAAAATGTGCTTCGTGAGACTGCGCTGCAGGAAAATGTGTTGACCTAAATCTTCATTGAATATTTATGCTATAATTGAGAGGAAGGTGGGGGGAGGAAAAAACAACTTAAATTTGTCATATGAGCTTGGAGAGAGGGCAGAAGACTGGTTTTCTGACAAAGGTTGTTGTAAGCTTGACCCCATGTATGCTATTCTAGGCCTGTATTGGGCACAAAGGTTAACAATGCTCAGCAAAAAAAAAAGTTGTCTTGCAGCGTAAAAAGGTGGAATTTCATGTCCATGGTATTGTATCCATATCTCATTTTATCCATTTTAAAATAAGAATAATACCCAACATACAGGGGTGCTAGGAGGCTTAACTGGTGATTGTGAAGGGCTGTAAGCCTGATGAAAGCTGTGCATTATACCTAGCTTTGGCACTATCCAAAATGTAGCTGCTCTCAGTGTCAAGCTGCAAAACATGAACCACAAATGTGCTGTGTTAGGGTCTTCCTGACCCAAACTGTGCCCCTCAGGCGGAGGCTACTTTTGCCAGATGTAAAGGCATTGTTTTACTTATTACCCTATTTGGTCAAGGACTTGATTGAAGGTTAGAAATTTCCTCCTTTATTCAAAAGTGTCCAACTGATCCAAAAGATTATGTGCTCCCGGCAGAGCCTCTCTCTGGCCTGACTCAGTTCTGTCCCCTAGCCACTGGCCTGCTTTCAGTCATGCTCTTGACCACAGTGCTGTTCCCAGCTCTTTCGCTGACTTGGCTGCGTCTGGGCAAGTTACTTCCTTTGCCACCTCTGTCTTCCCATCTGTAAATTGAGGATAATCATATTTGCCCATCTCACTTTAGCTTTTTGAAACCTATGGATGAAAAACCTGTTTAAGGGATTATTAGTAAAATAATCAACAAAATAACATTATTGACTTGATTAGAATTACTTCTGGATTTCATTTCAAATTGTGTCATGAATGCATGACTTAGAGGAAAGCAAATGACAACTACAATATATTTATTTGCTGTTGTTGCCTCTTGTACTTTTACATCTTATAATTAAAGTTAATGCTTATGAAACAGAGGGATGGGTTGATTATAATGGTTGAAACAAACCACTGTTTTGTACCCTTTACCACTCCCAGCCAGATCTTGGCCAGTGAGCCGTCTTCTCCCACTCTTGTGCCTCACACGTTGTCAATTGTGTATGATGTGGGCGCATTTTCACTTTGGACCTAGAAACTAGGATGTGACTGTATCAGAGGGGTAGCCGTGTTAGTCTGAATCTGTAAAAAGCAACAGAGGGTCCTGTGGCACCTTTGAGACTAACAGAAGTACTGGGAGCATAAGCTTTCGTGGGTAAGAACCTCACTTCTTCAGATGCAACTGTGATGCTCTGTACCTCAGGGGAATATCCAGCACCCCCATGTTCATCCTTATAATATGATTGTGTGGTATCCAATGCAAAGTTTGTCATGCCGGTGTCTTCGGAAGGCTCACGATGCACTGAGCATTGTTGTTACAGTGATGTCATAGTAATGTTACAGGTTGTAATTTCATGTATATAGTTGAAGCTGAGAATGTGTCCTCATGGCTTAAAACAAACCCAGGCAAAAGCTCTCCAGGAGCAGAGGGGCAGTTCACACTTCATCAGGGCATGTATGGGACAAACCCAGCCCAGCCTCACAGGAACAAAGGATACTGGCCTAGGTAGCAACAAAGGATCGGTTGGACTCTCAAGTGAGTCACACACCCCCCTTCCCTTGGTCAGTTTGGGACTGTGATGAGGTAATGCTCACCTGACCCGGGGGGGGGGAGGGGGCAAAGCCAAGAGGGAGGAAAGAACATGATAAAAGGGAGAGACGTTTGCCATGCTCTTCCTCTCTTCCACCTCCATCTACAGACATCACCACCAAGTGACTGAAGCGCTGATCAAAGGGGAGAGCCTGGCTGAAGGGCAACCAGCCAGCCTGTGGTGAGAAGCATCTAAGTTTTGTAAGAGCTCTGAAAGTGTTAAGATCAACTTAGAATACATTTTGCTTTTATTTCATTTGAGCAAATCTGACTTGTTGTGCTTTGACTTATAATCACTTAAAATCTTTCTTTGTAGTTAATAAGTTAGTTTGTTTATTCTACCTGAAGCAGTGTGTTTGGTTTGAAGCATGTCAGAAACTCCCCTTGGGATAACAAGCCTGGTACATATCAATTTCTTTGTTAAATTGATGAACTCTCATAAGCTTGAAGCATAACTGGACACTGCAAGATGGAGGTTCCTAGAGTTGTGTCTGGGACCGGAGATATTGGCTAGTGTCATTTGGTTGCACAATCCAAGCATCTTACGTGCTAAAGGCTGTGCGTGAACAGCCCAGGAGTGGGGGTCTCGCAGCAGAGCAGGGTAAGGCTGGCTCCCAGAGTCAAGGATTGGAGTGACTTAGCAGATCACCGGTCCAGGTAACACCTGGGCAACGTCACAGTGACCTCACTATTAATTTCTGCCAGTGCCCAAGTACAGTTTGCACACCAAGATGAGCATAGTGCTATTAAACTGTGTGCCCAAGCTTCCAAATACGGGAGCGAATGCTGCCTGGTCACATGGAAGCTCATTTGGTTGGTTCTGTTCTAGATTTTGGTTTCATTGCTACACGCTAATTTGGCAGGCACCCAATGAAAGCTGTAATGGGTATTTTCTGCTGCATGCTATCTCTAACCCCTTGCGTAAAGACGGAGAGCCTGTAAGGTGAGAGAGTCAGGAACATTTGAGGGAGGGTGTGGTGGTGAGGACTCCTACAATGTTGGTCATTCCACTGTTCAATTAACTGTGGGCGATGGCTTTGAAAATTGGTTTGTAGCAAAAGTTGCTTTCGTCATCTTTCAATGAGATGTTTACAAGCTGGCGTTGTATTTGGAAATTATAGTGAGCTGTCTCCTGTAATGGGGGCAAGAGAGAAGTGGGTCGCTCTGTTCCTTAGGGCTTGTCTACACCAGGGGGGTTAATCTGCAGTTTTTCAAGTTAATCTGCTTTGAAAATGCTTGCGTACACATGGTGCAGTTCATTGCAGTGCTTTGACTCTGTGTTTATTGCAAACTCTGGAGCCTTCTTTGAAAATGAACTAACTTTGCTGTGAAGAATTTCATGCCTTGAGCACTGTAGTTAGGTTGACCTAACCCTGGTGTAGATGCAGCTAAGTAGATGGAAGGATTCTTCCGCTGACATAGCTACCGCCTCTGAGGTGGGTTACCTACGTTAACGGGAAAAACCCCACCTGTCAATGTAGGAAGCGTCATAGTGTAGACATACCCTTATTCTTCAGCATCCAAAGTAGTCTGGTAATGTCCAGTACCTGGACACACTTTAAATACAGCTGTGGGAAGTGCTAGCACTTCATGCTGCCTCCACCCTGTGAATCTCCAAATGCTGTGCAGTATCGACACTCCCCTTTGACAAGCCATGGAGGCTTGGAATTGGAGAAGGCCTGAAGAAGTTTAGTGCTTCCTCCTTCATGTTGAGCTTGTCCTCAACTTGCTGTCTCTGCCTGACCTCCTCTGCTCCATGCAACTCTGTGTCCCCTCTCAAAAGACTGCTCCCTTGCCAAGCTCTGCTCCCCATCTGGCCTCTGCAAACCTTATGCTGCTCCAGTATCCCCAGGAAGCCTGTTGTTCCTGACTCTGCTTTGCCCTACCTTGCCATACCCCTTTGCCCACCAAGCCCTGCTTGCCCACCGTTCTCCTCCTCCCCAACCCCACCCCCATCACCCTCACTTCCCATACGTGTGTCTCACACTATCCCACTACTTCCAAAACTCCAGGAAATTCCCACCCAAACTTCAGCCCAAGTATAAGTGTAGCTTAGCTGCCTTACTTGGGAAAACACTCTCTGACAGCAGCCCTAGCACCCACTGCATCCTCAGCCCTGATACTGCACTACCCAAATCCTCCACTCTGCTTCCTGTCACTTCAGCGCCAAGTCGCACTCTCGCATCTGGAAGCAGGGCCGTGGATTTTTAACATGGTAAGAAGAGACTTCTGAAGAAAAGGGGTGGGTGTGTATTGATAAATCTGAATCTTGCTGATGTCTTAGTTAAGGTGCCCTTGAATGCAATTAGAATCGGCTGACGGGGTGTTGTCAGTGGCTGTGTGATGTGAAAAGGGAGTGTGGTGTGGAGTGAGGACCCATGGGTATATGAATTGAGGTTGGTCTGTGTATTGATGTTTCCTTAACAGGCGGGACTGACAGTGGACAAGTGTGTTGATGTAGGATTGTCTAACTTGTGAAAGCAGCAGTGGCAGGGTATGCGCCTCAATCCTGAGGGTAGCTATAGGAATGAGCTTTCCTGCCAGACAGCCCGTGGGATGGGGGATGGTACGTGTGACTTCCCTCTTGGCAGGGGATTCCAGCCCATGTTACTTTCCTGGTGGCCGTGGGAGGAGAGTTTGACAGGTGCAGCACTCAGGATAAGGGTTGTAGGGACAACAAGGAGGAGCTCTGGTTTAATTGAGTCAGGCCCTCCTGAGTCTCCCCCCTGCCAAAGACCGCATGGATGTGGTTCCTGTTAGTTTCTCGGTGCTGCTCTGTATCATTCTGTGGGGGTCACTCAGGATCTGAAGAACTTATTCTCCCACAGCTCAAATGTGATGTCTCCACCGCACCGCCAGTCTCCAGTGGCTTGGGGAGCTTGTACTGGATAGGGGCAAACTGCCTGGCCCACTCTCAGACTGTGTGTACCTTCCCCAGAAAATGTAAAGAACTATCTGGATTGTATTTTGATGCGTCTAAAGTCCCCCCTTTCCTTAATAGTGTCTGGTGTTCCCCAGCATGTGAAGTTGAAATGGGGCTCTTCCCCATGCAGTGTGGTTTCTTGTATGGTTACGCAGCTTATTGCCAAAAAAAAAGGGGGGGGGGCATTTAGTTTTGCTTCTATCCTGAACGTAAACCAGGCCCAGGCTCTAATCACTTCTCTTGTTGTTACTTGCACATTTTGGGGGTTTTTTTATTTTGAAGGTGCAGTTTTAAAATGTTTGGGCTTTTTGCAGAACTGGCAAAGTCGCACTTGAATTCACATCTGTGACGTGCTATTTACCCTGCTTCTCTAGGAAGCTGAAGTTCCCAGGAACCAGAACTTCCTCTCCCTCTGTGCTCCTGTGCTCCAGTGATCACATGCTCTTCCCCGTACCCGATCATTTTGTGAACAGCAAGGTTTAGCTTTGCTTAGGTGGGGCAGTTATTTGGAAGTGAGCCTTCTGCTGACAGCTGATATTGCACAAGTCTGCAGGGCATGGAAGGGACACACTGATATCTTAGATCAGCACGTGGCACTCCACTCGGTGCTGATCATCACTGACGTGTGGAGTCAGCTACGGTCACTGCACTTTGCTTGACCTGAGCTCAAATACGTTGGGGTTTGAGGGTAACAGAAGTAATGTGCAAACCCCAGAAAATAGGTTGTTTGAATTCAGTTAAATGCTATCTCATGGTTAGTATAGAGATATTTATTTCAAAATTACACTTGCACAGGGCTGCCCTTCCCCCTTCCAAATCTACCTCAGTGCAGTGTGGATGGAAAACTGGAGGGTGTCCCAGATGGGCCTTGGATATATTTGGCAGCTCTGTGGCATTGTGGGTTTTGTTCAGCCCTGTATTCTCTGCTACCATTTCTCTGTTGAGCCAAATCATTTTGTATTTGTTTTTTTATTTTGCATGCATAGCACCTATACCTACCCAATTTAAAATGCACAAAATAATTAAAACAGTGAGCCCAGCCTAAGAACCCCAGCAACCAACCAACAGATCACCCAATAACTATCTACCCCCTTTTTCTTTCTGAGCTCCCCTCCCCCAACATGCTATAAAAACACCACGGCCCACCTGTGCCACTGCTGTTTTTCTCCATATAAAAGCCAGGGCCAGCGTTATGGGTTAGCAAGCAGGGCAGTTGCCCAGGGCCCCACACCAGAGGGGGCCCCACGAAACTAAATTGCTCAGGCTTTGGCTTCAGCCCCAGGTGGCAGGGCCCCAGGCTTTGGCTTTCTGCCCTGCGCCCCAGTGAGTCTAATACTGGTCCTGCTTGGGGGGGCCCCCTAAAACCTGCTTGCGGTCCCCCAGGGGCCCTGGACCCCTGGTTGGGAACTACTGATCCAGCCTACAGATCCCAGATCCCTACATCACCCAATTTCCCCCACTTTCTGGGAAAATAGACGGGTCTTAGAGCATGCCCTGAAAATCAATTAATTTAGCCTATTTTGGAGTAAATTCCAAAACCAAGGTCCTTTCACAGAAAATACCTTGCCACCGTCACTCTTCTTTCAATGGCTGATGGCTCAGATGCCTCTGTTGATTGAAGCTTTAGTGGTATGCTAGAGAGACTGCCTCAGGTAGGCAGGTACCGCTGTATATAGAGAGAAATCTAGTTTTAATGTTAGGTCCATGTAGACTGTATTGCATTAGTCTTGTCTTTAAGTGACAAAGGTATGGGTACCTGTAGCGAGGCCTGAATCCAAAACAGAGGTGAATGGGAAAAGTACTCTTGGTTACTACTTTTAGCTCCCCTAAACCCGCTGATGGTCTAGAATGGTTCTCCCAAATTGCAAACTCAAAAAATAATCTTCAGGGTGCCCCTCTGCTAAGGGGTTAATATAATCTCCCTCCCTGCCTGTTGCTTTCCCAATCTACCCGCTTCTCTTCAGGCTTGGCTTCATCCAGCTAGCTCTCGTTCATGCCCTAATCTCAGCCAGGTATTTGATGAGGAACTCAACTGCACCATCTGTGTCGAACAAGAAGGATGACTCAGTGGTTAGGGCTTAGCAGACCTGGGTTCAAGTCCCTGCTCTGCCACAAATTCTCTGAGGGACCTCAGGCAAGTCACTTAGTCTCTCTGCCTCAGTTCCCCACCTATACAATGGAGACAGCAATACTTCCCTGCGTCACAGGGTGTTGTGAGGATAAATATGTTAAAGATGCCCTGCTGAGGGGGGCCATAAGTACTTTAGATAGATGCGTAACATGGAGACAGAGAACTGGGTGCATGTCAGCATACCAAAAGCACCATAACAGAGCACTCCTAACAGCCTTCTCTACAAGTTGAATGAGAGAGACTGGCAAGGCGAACCCCTGTCCAACCCGTTTGAGAGCCCATGGGACACAGGAGTTGTCTGGGACTCTGGGGCCTAGAGGAACGGTGCAGCTTGAGTGACTTTGTTCAAGCCAGGTGAGGTTTGCGGGCAGGCCACCAGCACATCATGGTGTGAAGGGCAATCTGACGATCAGCCTACATGCCTGGTTTTCATCCATTGTCCTGAGGAGAAGTGCAGTTTCCATACCATACACTGGTCAGATCTCAGATTAACAAGGGTCAAGGGAATCTAACACAGCCAGATAAATTCACTACAGTCTTCTGAACAATCTTACTCAGTGGTAAGATATCAGGAAGGGTGATAACTGACCAGAGAGATAGTAATGGTGGTGTAGCAGGGTTGGTCCCAGGATATGAGACAAGGTGGGGGAGGTAATATCTTTTATTGGAACAACTTCTATTGGTGAGTGTGACAGGCTTTCCACTGACTCAAAACTGAAGAAGAGCTCTGTGTCGCTCAGAAGCATCTCTCTCACCAACAGAAGTTGGTCCAATAAAAGATATTACCTTCCCCACCTTGTCTTCTCTGATAGCATCAAGTAGAGGCTGCCCGTCGTAAAGGAGCTGTTGAAAATGTCCAAAAATGGCCCTGTTCAGGGCCTGCCTGCACTACAGCTTTTAACTGGGTCAGGGACAACTGAGTTGTGACTGGGTCACCAGACCTGGTTTAGCAACCCCGTAATTAATAGCCATGCTAGTGCTTAAAGTAACTCGTGGTTCAGAGCAAGGGGTCAGACTCAACTCAGTCCTGTGGTTTTGGGCAATATCCTCCCCGATAACTAGAAACTGAAGCTATTGGATATTTTATGTGATGTGATTAGTCAATGCAATATGCAGTTAATCCTGTATGACTAATTCTGTAATCCTGGCCAGACATTGGATACCATTTGAATATTTTGGTAACAAGCTGAACAAACTTGTTTGCTAGCAACTGAATGTACCAAGCTTTCTTACCTGAATCTAGCTCCCAGCCGCAGGAGTGGGCCCAACAGTCACATACATTAGCCTTCTGGGTGAAGAAAGTCGAGTCACGTCTCGCTGCAGTAGAAACATAGGGCAAGTTCAACTATTGCTAGAGAGGTTTCCTGCCCTCCTTTGCGCTTAGAACATTAGGACACTCCCTCCTTCACTGGCATCCTTCCCTTTGTCAAAGGAAGGATTTTCCTCATTGTTTCAAATGCAGCCAAAGCTAGTTTACTTCCTTGTTTTCTGCACCAGCAGCATTGATGAGGTCAACTCTTGGAATAGGGTGTAACCACTATTGCAGACCCAGCAGGGGGAGCCCTTCCGTTGTTTTATAGTAGGCCACATTTAACTCCTGCTCAATGAGAAGTGAGGATTTCGGATTTTAATTAGAAGTATAAAAGATGCCAGGCCCGCCCCATCAGATAAACCTTAAAAATTTATCAAATTCCCTCTAGCTCTGATGATACTACATTCCATGCATGTATGCCACCCTTGTATGTACTACACACAGCTTCTACAGTTTTAACTTTCACTATAATTGACTTAATGCACTCACTCACTCACTACACATTAGTGTAGGCACAAAGCATTAACTTCACTACACACCTGCAAACTAGTGGGTAATGCCCATCTTTAGAGATGGCTAAATTGAGGCTACTCAAAACCAAACAAAACCCCATGATTTTACTTCAGGTCATGTAGCAAGTCATTGGCAGTGCAGGGTGTAGAATTTAGGTAGTTTGGTACCAGTCCTCTGGTCATATCACTAGACATGCTCCTTCTGGAATGCTTTGCTCCCAATAATGGCTTTATATTTGCATATACATTGTGTTTGTCAGCTGTTACCAACACACATTTCCTGAAGAGGTATAACAGAGGCTGGGAGCCAGGACTCCAGGGTTCTGTACTGAGCTTTGCCACTGACTTGTGTGACCAAAGGCAAGATGCCGTGTCTCAGTTTATCCTTCTGTAAACTGGGTGTTGTCTAGTACTGTGCGGGCTTGGTGTGACGCTCGCTTAATATTTGATAAAGTACTTTTAGATCTTCAGCTAAAAGACACCATGCAAGTGCAGAATGTAATTATTTATTTTGATGAGACTAGTACATGGTGTAGAATCAAAACTCTCTGCTGTTAGAAAAATGGCAGAACTTCTGCCCTCTGTTTTTTAAAGGGTGCGATTATAGCTTAGGTTATCTTTCCTACATTGTTTTAAACCTGCTGTGTCAGAGGACTGTTCTAACACAACCGTGACCTGACCAGGCTAGAATGCAATTTGGCCTTGTGTATGCAGATGAAACTAACCTGTTTTGTAACCACTTTTTGAATCATGTTACCATCTTGACAGGATGGTAACATTGCTTGTTAAGAAGCTTATAACGTGGCTTGGTAGTATCTACATAGAGAAGACTGGATCATGTTCTAATACTGTTGGGGCATTATTAAATCATAATGGTTTCCTGACACATTCAACTTGTAGTTTAGAAAGGCACTCTGCATCCAGTGACTTAAAGGTAGGGGGACCTTAGTTGTAGTTGCTGATAGAAATCACTTTCAGGGGTGGGCTGCACACTAAGCTATTGAGAAAGAGGGCTCGATGTCAAATGTCTGGGGCGAGCAGAACAGATTGTTCTTACTTGTGAGGCTTTTTCTGTGAACGGCATACAGAGTCTGCCCTGGGTGCTGCATGTTGTCAGTGGGTAGGGTACCTTTGTATGAAGACACGTAGAAGCTGCCAGAGTCAATTGCTTTGCTGCATGCTGGCTCACTGCATTGTGTTCAAATGTTCAAATAATGTTGTTCCCTCTGGCGTATGACTTGGAAACCAGAGATTCTTGTAGCCTGTCAAGGCAAGGGAGTTTGTGTATCATTCTGTGAAACACTTCCACCTACTCCTTGCTGACATTTCCAGGAGAAAGAGAACTTCATTTTGGCTCCTAAGTTGTAAAAATGTTCTTGTAAGTGCCAGGGACTCTGTCCCCCTCCTCCGCCTCCCTCCTCTTTGTCTGCCAGCTGAGCAACTTTCTGTCCTCTTTGCCTGGCAGCATTGATGAAGTCATGCATCTCCGTGAGCTACTGTCCCCATTCTAGCACCAAAAGACACTTGATTGGTTTGATTCTGTTCCAGTGGTAGCTGTTTGGCATCTTTGTGCTGGCTGACTGTTGAGGTCTTTGTGTTGCTTGTCTGAAAATGGGCCCAGTCAACATATGTAAACCTTCTGGGTGTCACCTCTGTTCTCAAAAAGGCACCTGGGTAAGACACAGGCCTCAGGAGAGAGGAGCCCTGGGGTCCGCTCCCAGAACTGTCACAGGCTAGGTGAGGCCTTGGGGAAGTCTCTTCACCTCTCTGCCTGTGGCCTCATCTTTAAAACAGGGTAATGCTTATACCTCCCAGGAGGTTGTGAGGTTAAATTACATTTGTTAACTGCAGTGAGCACTCTAGGAAAGCTACTAGAGAAGGAAAAAGTGGTTATTTAAAAACGCACACCAACTGTAGAGTTAATTACAAGTCAGAGACTGCTCATGCCATGCTGAAGTACTCCGGAGATCTCTTTAAAGGTTGACCTAGAGCAATGGCTTGTATCATACTGGGTAAGAACAGACTCTGCTCCAGCTGCACGTAGTCACCGGGAATGCTCTGTGTAACCTGCCAGGATAGAGAGTTACATAAGCCGCCTCCTCGGTCTCGTGTCGGCAAAAGATGCGGCATGATACTGAGATGATAGTAATGCCTCTGCCTCTTCACAGAGCGCAGTGGCAGCTGTTTGTTCTCGGGAAGGTGTTTTGTGCCTGCCTGACGGATGTTGAGTCCAGGAGAGCTACCTGTTACACTAATGTAAATAATCCCTGCTTGAGCCAAAAAGGCTGCAGCAGAAGCTGTGATTTAAAAATCTGATGTGCATGGTGGTGGGCTTTGTGCGCAGGGTAGCGCATGCAGGCAGATGTTATGCTTTCCAGGATTTGATCTGAGGTACTACTTACTGAGCGGCAGCCTGCTCTCCTCCATGTCCGATATGAACCTGGATGCTGCTTCATTTTGATATTTCTTGGCACGTGAAATTAAGAACACAAGAATGGCCATGCTGGGTCAGACCAATTATCCCTCGTCTGACAGTGGCCGGTGCCAGATGCTTCAGAGGGAATGAACAGAACGAGGCAATTGATCGAGTGACACGTCTCCTGTCATCCAGTCCTGGCATCTGGCAGTCAGAGATTTTGGGACACCCGGAGTATGGGATTGCGTCCCTGACAATCTTGATAGATCTATCCTCCCTGAATTTAGGTAATTCTTTTTTGAACCCTGTTATATTTTGGCCTTCAAACATCCCCTGGAAACAAGTTCCACAGGCTGACTATGCAGTTGTGTGAAGAAGTACTTCCTTATGTTTGTTTTAAGCTTGATGCCTGTTAATTTCATTGGGTGCCCCCTGGAGACTGTTTATTAGTAACTTGTTAAATACTTTTTCTTGCAGGTTAGGCAGGAAGGAGCTTGTGCAGAGAAAGGCAGACACTATTTACTAATCTCTTTTTGAACTAAGATGACACTTGCTCTGTAGCTTGGAGATGAAAGCATGGATTTGGATGAAAAGATTTGAGAAGAATACACTGGCGATGGGCAAAAAGTGAACGCTCTTGCTGGTGAGGGGACCCCCCTCACGCACACTTTACTCATAGACTCATAGACTTTAAGGTCAGAAGGGACCATTATGATCATCTAGTCTGACCCCCTGCATGATGCAGGCCACAAAGCCATACCTACCCTTTCCCTTGACTCTGCTGTTGAAGTCCCCAAATCCTGTGGCTTAGAGACTTCAATTGGCAGAGAATCCTCCTGCTAGCGATCCCTGCCCCATGCTGCAGAGGAAGGCGAAAAACCTCCAGGGCCTCTGCCAATCTGCCCTGGAGGAAAATTCCTTCCCGACCCCAAATATGGCGATCAGTAAAACCCTGAGCATGTAGGCAAGAGTCTCCAGCCTGACCCTTGTTAGCCATTATACTATTTACCTGCCATGGCACGGTATTCCTTTGACTAAAATCATGTTTTTCCATTAAACCATTCCCTCCATAAACTTACCTAGCTTAATCTTAAAACCAGACAGGTCCTTCGCCCCCACCGTTTCCCTCGGAAGGCTTTGCTGTGGGTGAATTCACAGAAATAAGCTGTACTGATATAAGCATCTTTATGCTAATATAACTCCATCCACAGTAGGGGTTGCACTCATTTAACTATATAATAAAGGTCTGAAAGAGATGTCAATGGGGAATCAGCCGATAGAGGTATTTCTAGTGGGGTTCCGCAGGGATCAGTACTAGGCCCAATGCTAATTCATATTTTCATCAATCACCTGGAAGTACATATAAAATTACTGCTGATAAAATTTGCAGAGGACACAAAGCTTGGTCCTGTGATTAAATAATGATGAGGACAGGTCAGTCATACAGAGCAATCTGGATCGCTTGGTAAGCCGAGCCCACTAAAACAATTTTTTTTTTAATACAGCCAAAGGCAAAATTATATTTCTGGTGCGGGCCAGACCCAGAATGGAGGACTGTATCCTGGAAAGCAGTGACTCTGAAAAGGATTTGGGGGTCTTAGTGGACAAGCAGCTGAACGCGAGCTCCTAGCGCAGTGGCAAAAAGGCTAGTATGATTCTTGGCAGTATAAACAGGGAAGTAGTAAGCAGGAGCAGGAAGGTGACTTTACCTCTGTATAGGGCAGGGATGGCCAAATTTACTGACCCTCCAAGCCGCATATGACAATCTTCAGAAGTTCGAGAGCCAGAGCGTGCCCGCTGGGGATTGGGGCTAAGGGCTTCTGCCCTTTGGGGTTGAGGGGCTTCAGCCCATAGGGTGTGACTGCCAGGTCTCAGGGCTTCAGTGGGAGTGGGGCTGAAGCCAAGACTCCCCTCCCTTCTGGGCGGAAGCCCCTAGCCACACCGCAGGGCAGAAGCCCTGAGCTCCCCCAAACAGTTTGGTAGGCGGAGAATGGGGGAGGGGGCTCCAAGAGCTGCACTTTAATTGGAAACGAGCTGCGGTTTGGCCATACTGGGACTGGAATACTGCCTCCAGTTCTGGTGTCCACATATTCAAAAGGGTGTGAAAAAATTGGAGGTAGTGTGCAGGAAAGAGGCACAAGGACAATTCAAGGGCTGGAGAAGAGGCCTCACGTCGAGAAACTACAAGAGCTCAATGTGTTTAGTTGACCAAAAAAAATTGAGATGTGAGTTGATAACAGTGTATAAATACCTCACTGGGAGAACATACGGGGTACTCAAGGACTCTCTATCTAGTGGAGAAAAACGTAACAAGAACCAGTGGCTGGAAACCGAAGCCAAACAAATCTAAATTAGAAATGAGGCACAGATTTTGACAGTGATTAACCCCTGGAACAGATTATCAAGGGAAGTTGTGGATTCTCTACTTGATGTTTTCAAATCCAGACCAGATGCCTTTCAGGAGGATCTGCTTTAGACAAAAAGTTAGTGGACTCCATACAGTGCCAACTGAATGAAATTTCATGGCCTGTGTTATACAGGAAGTCGGACTAGATGATCCAGTGGTCCCTTCTGGTCTTAAACTCTGAGTCTATGAACATGCCCTGCATTTCTCAGGTCTGATCCCCCTCCTTTCCACCCCACTTTTCCCTGCTCCAAAACCCTCCACATTTCCTCTTGCTTCTCAGACTCCCCAGGTTCTCCAACTGCTCCCTCCACCCCGGTCTGAAATGACTCCACCAGTCCATCCATCACACCCATGCTGCTCTCAGCTCTATCTTCCGCCATGCTTCTAGCAATCCGGGACAGGTGGGAAGGTGGGAGGGGCTGTAAAGAATGCATGCCCCAGCTGGAGGCAGGAGAGTGGAGATGCAGAGTCTCTGCCCCAAATTCAGGTCTAGTGTATGAGGAAGGGGCTTTTCACATCCACTTGCACCATAAGAGCCGCAGATGTGAAGTGGCCCATTCATCTCAATTAGAGTTTCTTAGCTGAATGAGAACACCCCATGGAGATAATACAACCTGAAACAATGGTGCTGTGAACTGCGTCATTCATCTCCGTGCAGGTTCTCATTCCCCTCTTCTGCAGCTTCAGCCCTTGTGGGCCTGTGCCATGCACCAAGCAGGCATGTTCCCAGCTCCCTGCCTCCTCTTAACACTGGCTGCACTATGCACTGAACATACACATTCCCAGCTCTCCATCTTGGACTCAGCACTGGGGGGCATGTATTGAAGGGGGCACAGAAATGGGGGGTATGGATATGGAGTGGTTTGGGAGGCAGAGCTGAAGCGCCCTACATTTCTCACTGCACAGCTTTGACCCCTTCCTTCCTGCCCCACACTCTCCTGCACTGCTCTGACCTCTCCTTTTCCCCTAGAAGCATTGGGGTGAATGTACAGGGGAGAGCGTGGTTGTCCCTTCCCCACTGCTTGGAGGCAACATGGAGGAGGGGAAGGTCTGGGTTCCTTCCCCTGCTGGATCAGGGAGCAGTGAAGGGAAGGGGAGCCCTTGAGCTGGGCTGATGGAGCAGCCCGGGGGAGGAATTAGGGGTAGATGGCTCCATTTCCCCTCCAGTGACATACTTAGGGGAAGGTGTGAGTGTCACCCATATTGTTCTGCTAGCAGCACTTCTGAGCTCCCAGAGAGCAAAGGTCCCTTGGAAAATGATCCTTCATTCATTGAGAGATCATAGAAAAATGCACTTCTGGAAACATAGTTCTTTATCAAAGCTCTAGTCATTGAACTTTGTCCAAAAACACATTGTTTGGATGATAAAGGGTTGTCATCTTTTGGGGTGTACAGGAACCTCAATAGCTGAGCCAGAGCCCAGCCCCAAAGGGTGAAGATTGGCAAAGGGGCAGAGCCCTCACCCCCTGTCCTGCTCCAGCTCCCCCTCCCCCATATTCCCTCACTCTATACTGAAAAGGTTAGAAGAGTCTGAAAACGTTTTGAGCTGCTCACATTAGGGCAGCTGTGGATCAGGAACCCCTTGGCCAGATGGCTCAGTGGTTTGCATTCCTTTGATCAAACTCAGTCCTGTTGTTCTACGCTGGGGGGCATTCTGGGTTAAAAAAAAAAAAAATTCTGTGCACAATATTTTAAGAGTCTGCAAATGTTGTCAAAATAGCACTAGTTTCAATTATTTTGGTAATTTATTTCAAAATACCTGTCAGCAGGTATGTCTGCAACAATGCAGACACACAAAAATTCCCCCAGGAGTAGAGAGTTAAAGAAACCCCTATGACAACCCAGTTCCTGTTTCTCTGCCCCATTCACACCCCCCCGAGCCCAGCCGTGGGGCCAGACACTCTCACCCCCTCCCCTGCCAGAGCCCAGGGATCCAGAGGGAGAAACAGCCTGATGCTAAGTCCCAGGCTTGCACAGTTTCCTGTGTGCCACCCTCACCTTCTCTCAGGGCATGCTGGGAACTGCAGCTGCCAGGAACCCTCTAGCTCCCTCTCCCTCCCCCAGCAGTGTCTTCGATGTGCGAGCTGGGCTCTGCTGGTCCAGCAGCCACTAGTGGCGGCTAGCAGCACTGCAGCTTATTTCTGTGAGGGAAAGGAAATTCTGCGTGCACGTTAATTTCTGCAAAATTCTGCATTGCGCAGTGGCGCGGAATTCCCCCAGGAGTATTGTTCAGGGAACAGTTGAGGAACATGGTTCCATTATCCTAACTGCTCTTTGTAGAGTCTTCCTTATTTCCTCTGTTTCATCAATGCTGATTTCCTTGACAGTACTTATAAAATCCAAGTCTGGATTTTAGGGCACTTTAAAACAGTGCTCTTAAACCAGAAATTTTGGTCTCAGACTACAGTATGTCACTTTGGCCACCCAATGACTGTGACAGCGGCATGCCTGCAAACTCTCTGGCTTTAATAGAGCCCTGGTTTTGTGGCACCTGTGCCTTTCACTCTTTGTCATCAGCTAGGCTCAGTCTGCCCCGGAGTAATAAACTCTACCCTCAGTCAATAACATTCACTTCCCCATAGGGGCAGCAGATGCCGTGCGCCAGCTGAGTTAAATCCCCAGGGGTGATATCAGTTTGAGGAGAATCAGAACCGGGACATCAGTCTGTCAGTTCATGAAACATCATAACTGAAATATCAGTATTAACTATTTTGCTCCTGTTCATTTGGCAGAAACAGCTTGCGAATGTGCTTAGCCCTCAACCCCCAACTACCTTGGCCAGTGTCAAAAGTACCAGCTGCCCCCTACTAAGTTGCTGTAACCTCCAGCTTCCCTCCTGATCTGGTCTGTTCATCCTTACTCCGGCACACGGGTTTCCTTTCCTCTGCTACAGCATGCTCAGAAGGCTCTTCAAGCACTTTGTGGAGGCAGCTGTCCTGTTCTGGGAGCAGGAGTGATGCACTAACCTAGAATCAGCTAGGCCCGTGGGAGCAGCAGCTGCTTTCCCAGGCAGTTCTTCACCTCTGTGGTATGCCCTGTCGTGTTTCCGCTGCAGCACTCAACTTGCCAGTGTTCAGGGGTCCACCGTTGGAGACCTGCTAACTTAGATTAACCTTAAAATTCCTCTGAGCATCTTGACTCCAGCTCCGTTCAGATTTGCCTGGGAATGAGGTGTACATTAGGGTATTCACTCTAACCCTGTGTGAGTGGGTTGTAACTTAAATCAAAATCCCTCTCCTTCCTAAATAGTGATTTATAACCCATCTAATATCTAGTCTTGATTTTTCCCGTCCTGCAAGAGAGCTATGATTGCCCTTAGAAATAAAGAAGAACAGGAGTACTTGTGGCACCTTAGAGACTAACAAATTTATT